CTTAGTATTTTTTTTTGTTTGTTCTACTTAATACTTTTGGTTGAATACTGTAATCAATACACAATTCTTCTTAAGTGCTGAAACTTAACTGAAAAGGGATCTCTGTTAAATATAAGAGTGGGAATAAGAGAGGGAAGAGATGTGCAATTCGGGACATGCTCAAGCTGACTTACCTCAAACGGTAGAGTTAGAAACATACCAGGGGATTCCAATTCAATCCCATCAAGGTGGCATGTACCAATGCCATCTCACTAGTCCCAGTGATCAATTTCTGTTCACAATTGATCATAATGATAGGACTAAGAACCAAAGGGATCACATAAACAAAAATAGTGTCTGCAAATACTAGCTGATAGAATCAAAAAGGGAGAGAATGATCCAACATGGGAAGTGAGATACACAGCAGACTCATAGAATGGCAGATGTCCTAAACAGCACTCTGGCCTCAGAATCAGCCCTTAAGGCATGCGGAGCCTGCTGAAAAGCCCATGAGACTATTTCAGGCATGGAAAGCCAAGACACTCTGGGGGAAAAAAAAAAAAACCTAAATGAAAGATCTCCGCGAATGAGATCCCAGTGGAAAGAATGGGTCATTAAAAAAGGAGGTACCTTTCTCTGAAGGGAGGAGAGAACTTCCACTTTGACCATGGCCTTGTCTAAATATGATCAGAGTCAGTGAACTCAGGGGGCTTCCATAGCCTTGGCAGCTCATGACAAGAGCCTAGGGTGATTACTGAGGCCATAAACAAGAGTGTCAATTTGTTAAGTCAACAACAGGAGTCACTGTGCACTTACTCCTCATGTAGGATCTTTGTCCTTAGTGTGCTGTACATTGAGATTTAATGCTATAACTAGTACTCAAAACAGTATTTTTCACTTTATATTTCTGTGTGGCAGCCAACTGTTGAAATCTTTACTTAATGTATGCTAAACTGATCTTCTGTATATAAAGAGAATTGAAAATGAATCTTGATGTGAATGGAAGGGGAGAGGGAGTGGGAAAGGGGAGGGTTGTGGGTGGGAGGGACACTATGGGGGGGAAGCCATTGTAATCCATAAGCTGTACTTTGGAAATTTATATTCATTAAATAAAAGTTTGAAAGCAAAAAAAAAGATTCTACATCAATGTGCCCTAACCCTAACAAACTGATAAAAAGTAAAAAAAGAAAAACACCCAGTCCCAAAGGAAAACTCATTAGCAAAAACATGGTCAGTGAATTCTGTAAATGAGGACCACCACCACTCAGTGTTTCATATGACACAGATACACTTCTATCTGAAAATGACAGGTATCCAAATTATACTATTCTGTGATTTTTTATTTTTATTTATTTATATGAGAGGTAGGATTACAGACAGTGAGAGAGAAAGAGAGAAAGGTCTTCCTTCCGTTGGTTGACTCCCCAAATGGCTGCTACAGCTGGTGCTGCGCCGATCTAAAGCCAGGAGCCAGGTGTTTCCTCCTGGTCTCCCGTGTGGGCACAGGGGCCCAAGCACTTGGGCCATCCTCCACTGCCTTCCCGGGCCACAGCAGAGAGCTGGACTGGAAGAGGAGCAACCAGAACTAGAACCCGGCACCCACATGAGATGCCGGCACCACAGGCGAAGGATTAGCCTAGTGTGCCACGGCGCCAGCCCATATTCTGTGATTTTTTTAAAAAACCTTGTCCTATATACTGCCATAAAAATCAAAACTACCTGTTGACTTCCTTAAGAGTTTAAAACTTTGTATCAAAGAGTATTTGAAAATAAATATAATACCTCAGAGGAAAAAAAATTTTTAATAGTAATAAAAACCCACACATAAGTAAAGTATATGCAAATAATATTCCTATCCAAAATTAAAATATCAACTTTTAAAAACACTGTGCCTCAAAATTTACTGGTGCTCTTCAGAAAATTTTCAAGTGGTAGGTGCATATGCTCCCCAAAGTGGATCTTCAAGTACAACGATGCATAAGAGCACTGAACTCCTGTAATTTTGTGATTTGAAGTACTTTGTCTTTGCCTTTCTGACCTTTGAAGTCCTCCCTACGAAAGGGGAATAGAGGCGGATTTTGGTTTAGCAATTAAGGTTTCAGCATCCTATATCAGAGTGCCTAGGTTCAATGATCAAGTCCCAGTTTCAGCTACCAATTCCAGCTTTCTGACAACACAGATGCTGAGGTGTAGCAGGCAATGGCTCAGATGGTTTGGTTCCTATCACCCATGTTGGAGACCAGGATTAAGTTTCCAGTTTCCAGGGCTGGTTCTGTAGCATAGCCGGTAAAACCACAACCTGCAGTGCCAGCATCTCGTATGGGCACAGGTTCATGTCCCAGAAGCTCCACTTCCAATCCACCTCCTTGCTAATGTACCTGGGAAAGCAATGGAAGATAGCCCAAGTGCTTAGGCCCCTACACCCATGTGGGAGACCCAGTAGAAGCTCCCAGCTCCTGGTTTTAGATTGGCCCAGCTCCAGTCGTTTAGGCCATTTGGGGAGTAAACCAGCAATAGAAGATCACTATATATGTAACTCTGTAAATCAATCTTTTTTTTTTTTTTAAAGTTTCCAGCTCCAGGCCTGTTGCAGGCATGGCAACATAAGCTGATGGGGCAGCTTGCATTTCTCTTTCTCTATTTGTGCACATGTTTGTGTGTTTCTCTGCCTCTCAAATATCTTTTTTGGTGGTAATAATAACATATGTCCTATGTAATTCACATAATTATTACAAAAACCAAAACAATACAACTATATAACTATGCTCGGTAGAAATACAGAGTGACAGAGGTGTGATTCTCTCCTAACTCACATCATGCATTGCATTGCTATTAGTGATACAATTTTTCAAATAGTAGACAACACTTCGTATAATTTCTCATGAAATAAAATATAATCTTCCCTCAAAAAAAAAAAACAGAAAGATACTGAATATTACAGTGCTTTAAAATCATAAGTTCTATACAAAAACAATTTATTACTAAACTTTCCTAAAAGATTTGTTTTACATATATAACCAATACACATATAACCAATAAATAATCAATGCTTTGTATAGTTTCTATGCTATTTACATTACAGACACACATATGTTGCAGGATTTCAAAACATCCAAAAATCTTTAGCCTAATTAATGTATTTCTTATCCTCAGTATTCAAAGTGCGATCCAACAGCATGGGCACCATCTGGAATCTGGTTAGATACACAGCCTGTTAGGCACACCTGACCTACTGAATTAAAATCTGTATCTTCACAAGATGAATCCCAGGTGATTCCCATGTACAATAAGGTATCAGAAGCACTACTTCCTTTACACAGCAACGCCATTTACAATAACTGTATCATTAAGAAACTATTTTCTGAAAGGTAATTCAAATATATGCAAATGACTTATCTCCAGAAATTTAAAGACAGATATTTTACTGAACAATGATTACAGAAGCATATCTGAACAAATGAATCAGAAGTCATGTCTTATTTTTTTAAGGTTTATTTATTTTATTTGAAAAGCAGAGAGAGAGAGAGAGAGAGAGAGAGAGAGAGAGAGAGAGAAAGATATCTTCCATCTGTTGGCTCACGCCCCAAAATCCTCAACCACCTTTCCAGGCCATAGCAGAGAGCTGGATCGGAAGTGGAGCAGCTGGGATTCGAATCAGTGCCCATATGGGATGATGGCACCACAGGCAGTGGTTTTACCCGCTACACCACAGCACTGGCCCCATAATGTTTTTATTCTAATATATCTGCCTGGTATACAACTATAGCAGATAATACTTCTTGAATAGTTACCAAGAAAAATTATCAAAAATTAATACAAATGGGAATCAATGTGCACTTACCCTTAACATAAAATACTATATCAATTATTAAGTATGTTAAGCACTTTGGAATTAGCTTAAAAATAGTATGATTATTTTATTTATATCTGAAACTGGCCATATCTAAATATATAAATAAGAATAGACAGGTAATGTATGAGACCCATTAAACATCAAACAAGATACAAGCTTGGATGGGCATTTAGCCTAGTGGTTAAGATGCTGGTTGGAGGAAGGCCAGCATCCCATATCAGAACATCTGGGTTCAAGTCACAAATCCACTCCCAATTCCAGCTTCCTGCTAATATGCACTCTGAGAGGCAGCAGATGACAATTCTAGTAGTTGGGTCCCTGCTAGCCACATGGGGGACCTGGATTGAGTTCCTAGCTCCTGGCATCAACTTCAGCCCAGCTCTGGCCATTATGAGCATTTGGGGAATGAACCAAAAAATGAGAGCACTCTGGCTCCCTCTCTCCCTCTCTCTCCCTTTCTCCCTTTCTCTTTCTTGCTCCTTCTATCCCCTCTCTTCTCTGCCTATGAGATGTTTTTTATTAAAATCTTGAGGGGCCAGTACTGTGTCGCAGGTAAAGCCGCTGCCTGTAGTACTGCCATCCCATATGGGCACCGGTTCAAGTCTCAGCTGCTCCACTTCTGATCCAGCTCTCTGCAATGGCCTGGGAAGCAGTTGAAGATGGCCCAAATGCTTGGGGCCCTGCATCTGCGTGGAAGACCAGGAAGAAGCTCCTGGCTCCTGGCTTTAGACTGGCCCAGCTCCGGCTGTTGCAGCCATTTGGGGACTGGACCAGCGACAGAAGATTCTCTCTCTACCTCTGTCTCTGCCACTCTGCAACTCTGCCTTTCAAATAAGCAAATAAATCTTTAAAAAAATAAAATCTTGAAAGATACATATAATCTTTTTTATGGAGAAGACAGAAACAAACCTCCAACAGTATAAAGGATATTTAATGATCTTTAGTAGTAATGAAACATGGATTCAAATTCTTGTTTTGGCACTCAGACTTTGAACAAGCAGTTTAATGTCTATAGTCACAATTTCCTCATATGTAAAATCATGGTAATAATTGCACTTACCCTCACAGACATAAAAAGTAATATGCACAACCTAGAATTAGAAGTACTAATCATTATTTATGGAAAACAATAATTGATGTTTTAAAAAAATAAAAATGCAGAATTTACCTTATCAAGTTTTAGTTCCAATTCAGCCACATCTCCTTCTACTTCTTCCAAAGCAGCCCTGGAAAAATTAAATATAAAATAAGCTATTTCATTTATTTAAATGAATATTTTACACCTGAAAAATATCTCCAAGAGAAAAGGTAGATATAAATGTTAAAAATTATACTTCACATAAAGTAATAACTACCTTAAAATGAAGTATAAATACTTAACAATCACGTAATACAGCAAATACTACAATTATTATTTAGGATAATAAAAGAATCACTAGGCTGATTTACTCAAAGCATTAATATTACCCAAAGTAAAAATAACACTAATTGGAACTACTCAGCATGTATTTTACAACAAATAAGAAACTTTACCAGCTGAGCCTTGCAAAGAATCATATTTCCAGACAACCAAGCACATGCAACTGAACTGCAAAGTATTATTGTCAACCAAAAAGATAGGCTTTTTTAACTTTTAGAATTAGTTCAGAAAGATATTAACTTTAATCCACCATTTTGTTTCCAAAGTATTGTATTTTTTTAAATCAACACCTAACACTAATAAATTTTTATTTCACTTCTCCTATGAACACTATCTTTTTTTAAGATTTATTTATTTAAAAGGCAGAAATATAGATAAAGAAGGAGATAGAGAGATCTTCCAGCTGCTGCTTCACTCTCCAAATGCTGCAATGGCCAGGGCTGGGGCAGGCCAAAGCCAGGAGCCAGCAGCTCCTCCCAGGTCTCTCACATGAGTGCAGGTGCCCCAATTATTTGGATATGTTCCACTACTTTCCTAGGTGCATTAGCAGGGAGCTAGATAGCAAGTGGAGCAGCCGAGACTCAAACTGGCACCCATATGGGATGCAGGCACTATAGGCAAAGGCTTAACCTTCCACGCCACAGCGCCACCCATGAACACAAACTTAATGCTGGAAACGTAGCAAGGCGAGACTGGCATGTGGTAGCAGGTTAAGCCACCACCTGCGATGCCAGCATCCCATATGGGCACTGGTTAGTGTTCCTGCTGTTCTAGTTCTGATCTAGCTCATTGTTAAAGTGCCTGGGAAAGCAGTGGAGGAGGGCCCAAGTACATGGCGCCCTGCACCCGCGTGGGAGACTCAGAAAAAGTTCCTGGCTCCTGGCTTCAGATCGGCCCAGATCTGGCCGTTGCAGCAATCTGGGGGAGTGAACCCGCGGACAGAAGACTTTTCTCTGTCTCTCCCTCTCTGTCTGTAACTCTACCTCTCAAATAAATGAATAAAATCTTAATTTTAAAAAATGAGGACTATAGAAAGATGAAAAAGGCAGGCCTTTGATCTAGTGGTTAAGACTTCCCAATAAGATAAGATGCCAGAGTCCCTAATCAGTATGCTTTACTAGGTTTGTTGGTTCCAATGAATATCAAGTACAAATAGAAAAACATGAATAAAAACCATTTCTCATATATGATACATGTTAAAAATAAATCTTAACATTTAGTTATTGCTGTCTGTTCCCTAAGAAGCTGAATAAGTCCAGAATTTTTAAGACACTTTAATAATACTACTTTCATTCTTTTCTCTGTTCATACTTCAGTATTTTATAATCAACTCAAAAAAAAGTTATCTCAAAACACAAAACTGAAAAATATCCAGCAGCAAGTGTAAACACTGAGACATTTCCAATCACGTGGTGATCATTTTCAGCTGTGAATTAAATGAAGGGCTATGAAAAGCACAAAAATGGAACTCTCCCCACCCAGATAACCGTATATACCTGGTACAGTAAACTTTTTGAACTACTGTTTTTAAAATAGTACCTATAAAAATAACTGAATAGTATAAGTAACATGAGCATCACATTTTCTTTGTAAAAGAAAATTATTTGGGGGTCGGCGCTGTGGCCACCTGTAGCACCGGCATCCCCTATGAATGCCAGTTTGAGTGCTGGCTGCTCTACTTCCCATCCAGCTCTCTGCTATGGCCTGGCAAGGCAGCAGAAGATGACCCAAGTCCTTGGGCCTCTGTACCCACATAGAGAACTGGAAGTAGCTCCTGGCTCCTGACCAGTGCAGCTCCAGCAGTTGCAGCCATCTGGGGAGTGAACCAGTGGATGGAAGGCCTCTCTACCCCCACCCCTCTTTTTCCGTGCCTCTGCCTCTCTGTAACTCTGCCTTTCAAATAAATAAATCTCAAAAAGAAAGAAAATTATTTGAAAGAAGGTGTGAAGAATTATTTTCCCTAGATTGCATGATGATAAAATCTAAAATACAACAGGATATTTAAGATCATTGATGAGCACATAAATATCCTCAAACAATTAAACATGGATTTGAGGCTGTATGTCTTAAGTACCTACTAAGACTAACAGATAGATAAATATTCAAAATATAATAAATGAACAGAGGTCAGCATTGTAGCACAGAGGGTTAAACCACCCTTGGGGCACCTACATCCCAAAAGAGTGTCTGGGAGAGAGTTCTGCCTCCACCTCCAATCCAGCTTCCTACTAAAGAGCATGGGAGGCAGCAGATGATGGCCAAGTACTTGAGTTTCATATGGGAAACCCAGATGGAGTTCCTGGCTCTCTGTTTCAATCTGGCCAAGTCCCCGCTGTTGCACTCATTTGGGGAACCAGAAAATGGAAGATATTTCTCCCTCCCCATCCTACCCTGTGTCTCTGCCTCCTCCTTCCCACCTCCCCCACCCCGTCACTCTGCCTTTTGAATAATTTTAAAAACTTAAATAATGAAGAAATTTTGAAACTAACACTTTTAGTCCCTGCTTCCTATAATTAATATATTCCTAAAAACGGCATATCAGTAGAATATTCAGAAGAGTTGCCTGTATATGTTTATCATGGTACCTAATATCCCCAACCAACTTCCTCTTTCACCTCAACAGTCTTACTCATCTTAGGCAATGCCAAACTACTCTTTGCGAAGAAAAGATACTGGTCAGCCGGCGCCGCGGCTCACTAGGCTAATCCTCCGCCTAGTGGCGCCGGCACACCGGGTTCTAGTCCCGGTTGGGGCGCCGGATTCTGTCCCGGTTGCCCCTCTTCCAGGCCAGCTCTCTGCTGTGGCCAGGGAGGGCAGTGGAGGATGGCCCAGGTGCTTGGGCCCTGCACCCCATGGGAGACCAGGAGAAGCACCTGGCTCCTGGCTCCTGCCATCGGACCAGCGCGGTGCGCCGGCCGCAGCGCGCCGGCCGCGGCGGCCATTGGAGGGTGAACCAACGGCAAAAGGAAAACCTTTCTCTCTGTCTCTCTCTCACTGTCCACTATGCCTGTCAAAAAAAAAAAGAAAAGATACTGGCTGGCTCATGGTTAGTCCACTGACCCAAGGATAGCCCTCAACTAAACAAAAAGATGGTAAAAGATTCCCACACTATTGAGACAGCTCTTTCTGGGTTTTGACAAGAAAACAAAGAGAAGACACCCTAGAAATGTGTCTTACAAAAGCAATCCCTCATTAAATTACTTTGTAATATGAATGGTCATCCTTTATTTTGTTTGGTAAGTTCTGGTTTCCTTCTATTAAGTCACTGTAATACCTTAAATGTTGAGAAACAGTGGAATGCAGTTTAAAAAAAAATAAATGCCCAGTGGCAGGTGTTTGGCACAGCAATTAAGCTACCACCTGGGACACAGGTATTCCATCTCAGAGTGTCCGCTTTTAGTGCAAGCTCCTCCGCTTCTGATCCAGCTTCCTGCTAACACACACCTTGGGAGGCAGCAGGTGATGGCTCAAACACCTAGGTCCCTACAACCAACATGGAAGACCTATATGGAGTTCCGGGCTCCTAGCTTTGGCCTGGCCCAGTCTTGGCTGTTCTGGGCATTTGGGAAGTGAATCATTAGATGGAAGTTCTCATTTCCTCTCTCAAAAAAAATGAAAAAATTTAAAAAAACTAACATTTAGGGGCAAGTGTTGTGATGCAATGGGTTAAGCAGCCTCCAGCAACACCAGCATCCCATATGAGCATTGGTTCAAGTCCCAGCTACAATACAGCTCCTGCTAATATATCTGGTAAGGCAGCAGAATGTGGCCCAAGTGCTTGGGCTGCTGCTAACCACTTTGGAATACCAGGATGGAGTTCCTGGCCTTCAACCTGGATTCAGCAAAGATTCATTCTCCCTCCCTCTCCCTCCCCCCCCCCCCCCGTATGTGTGTGTGTAACTACCTTTCAAGTAAATAATCATTTTTAAATTTAAAAATAAAATATAAAAATAGCTGTCCATTTTTGAAGCCCTACATCTTACTAGCTGTGAAATGACTGAACAAGTTGAGTTTAAATTGCATGCATAAAATGAAGATAACAGTCTCTCCCATAGAAATGCATGCCAATTAAATTTTGATATGCATGTGAAAACCTGTGTCTGATACAAAGTAAACAATCACCAAACATCAATTATGATTACTTATAATCATTATATTTATAGTGTTGAAAACACACAATCTGTTTTTGTTTTCATTTTGGGGGTCTAAGTGGAATGAAAGAAATAATAAAACTAGGTTATTACATATTTCCAAGAAGAATGTGAAATAGCTTGAAAAAGAAGCAAAAAGTTATAACAATGCTTGTGATCAGCAAATGAAACAAAAAATCTAATTTATTTCAACTGAAAACACTTTAACACTCTTGCTTCCTTACAAAAATCATATGTCAAACACACACTGGAATCTTCCCCTAACTTCTTAACTTCAATTTAGGCTGGAGGACTACATAATCTGATACAATAGCATTTGAATATCCACTTGCTTTTCAAGCTTATGTTTTATGCAACTCATATAAGAGGAGAACCAATACTATAATCAGTATGAAAGAAAATTAAAGTCCTGAGTGCATAACAATAAGCTATCTTTATATAAGCCTCTGCCTTTATTTCTTTCAGAAGTTTCAATGTGTGGAATTAAAAGGTCTTTCTTTTCCAGATATTATCTCTGAAATATTGTACTTTCTGCTTTTGCTCAGATTGTTCTACGAAGCAAATCTACCCAGATCTATGAGAAATTCAGTCCTGAAATGGGAAAGAGAAGAGGGTTTTGTAAAACAAATCAGAACTGGAAACCAAAATTTTAGTC